CGCCCGCCGATCGGCGCCGCGTCCGGCGCGCCGCAGCCAATGGGACGGGAGCGCAGAGGGAGAGCCCCGCCCCGTCTTGCCCCGCCCCGCCCCGCGGCGGCGGAGCCGGGCCCGACCCCGCGCGTTGCTCTCCGCGACGCGGGATCGGGGCGGGCACGGCGGCACCGCCAGCCCCGGGAGCAGCCCCAGCCCCAGCCCCGGCCCCGGCCCCGGCGGTATCGCCAGGCCCGGAGGCACAGCCGGTCCCGGTTGCACTGCTTGTCCCGGCTGCATTGCTGCCTCGGTTGCGTGGCCAACCCCTGCTGTGTCACCACACGTGTATTGCCAGCCCTGGCTGCATCGCCAGTCTCGAGCTGCATCCCCACCTTGTTTGCATCTCCAGCCTTGGCTGCATCGCCACCCCGAGCTGTGTCACCAACCCCAGCTGCAGCGCCAGTCCCAGCTGCATTTCCAAGGCCCGTTCTATTTCCATCCCAGTTGCATTTCCAGTGCCGGTTATATTTCCATCCCACCTCTGCCAGCACCAGTTGCCTTGTGCTTCAGTAGCACCACCAGTCCTGGTTATGTCACCAGCCCCAACCACATTGTCACCCACATCGTGTTGCCAGCTCTGGTTGCATCACCATCCCCAGCTGCATCATTTGCCTTGTGGTTTTTCCCCAAGCCCTGTCTCCTGGAGTGCCTGCAGGCAGCAAGCACCTCGCTTTCTGGTTATGGCTGGCTTCACCATCCGGCTCTGAAGGACAAGGCAGGCTAAACATACAGAAGCAAAGTGTGTTTATTATTTTGTAAATCTGCTGATTTCGAGTTGGTCTTGCCCAAGGAGCCTAGCTCACTGCTCTGTAAGCCACACCTACTGTGCTACCCCCATGCTACCTCTGTGACCACCGGGTAAGTCAGAGCCTGCTCTTCTTAAGTGAGTCGCTCTGTCCCAAGTGAGCAGAAGCTACAGCACCACAGGTCCACAGCCTCTAAAGTGCCTAAAAATGGCTTGCTAGCGACAAGGGCTTGTGTGTACACTGGAATTCACAAGTGTGATGTTAATGAGCTGGCAGCATGGTTAATTATCCACCCGCTGGTGGGAAGTGACAAGCCTCTGAAGTAAAATTAATCACCATTCCCAAAAGAAGAACCAATCAGTGTGGAAGTGGGTGCCAGCCCATCCACCTGAGCTGTTGGTCTTGCTCACCTTCCTTCCAAACTCAGCTCCAAGTCCTTTGCTCCCCTGCACGGCACTTTGTGGTGCCTGCCATCATGGAGGGAAGCTGGCCCTCCCTCCTTTCAGTTCTTTTCAGGCTCCTTACGCACCTTGTGTTCACGTAGGATCTTCCCCAACTTCCCAGCCTGTGGGCTGGATCTCGCCTGCCCTGGCTCCCCCTGCTCCTCTTTGCTCCCCAGCAGGATTTCGTTGATATAACTGAGGGTCAGGTTGCTGAAGACCATGTTGAAGTGGTGGGCGCCTCGCAGCTCCTGGACGTACACCTTCTGCTTCTGCTGGTCACGCCATCTCTTGCACAGCTCCAAGCTGCGGGTGTTGACGCTGTCGTCCCCATCGCCATAAATTATGTCCACAGGGTCCTCGTAAGGGAAACGCTCATCATAGATGTAAGTCTCTGCGGTGGGGAAGCCTGTGCCATAGAGGCAATACGTGTCCACCCCAGGAGGGGGCAAATCCTTCAGCAAGTCCTTCATGTCCTCCCACATGTACCAGCCGTCCTCCAGGTTGACGTCGGTGAAGAAGCGCTGGTAGTCGCGGTAGGTGTAGTTGTAGGAGGGAGTGGAGATGAAAACGTGGCTCTCAGGCCAGGCCAGGGTCGTGGGGAACATCCAGGGGCTGGTGGTGGTCATGCGCTGCTCTTCCCGGAGCTTGATGTTGGACATGAGTGGGATGCCCTGCTCGTCACCTGCAGGACACGCAAGGGCTCATCACAAATGGCACCACAATGTCCCCACACAGACGGAGCCTTTGGGCAGCTGGGCTGGATCAGGGCTCCCCACAGTGACTCACCACTGTCCCCTGGCCTTCCCAGCTCAGCTCTTCCCCTGCCCGTAACCTTTCGTCCTCTCCTTACCCCCTGCCTGCAGATATCAAGAACAGCCTTCCAAACTCTTCTCTCCACATCTCTAGCTGCTCAAAGGGCCTGAATGGAGACAAACCTGGATGTGTGATGGCACAGACCAACCCAGCCCTGAACATTCCCTGCAAGCTGGCACCGCCACACCTGCCTGCAGGGACAGGAGCAAGCAGTAATAAGTGGCCAACTTGCACGTTTCCTTCAAGCCTTTATATTTTTTGGTATGTCTGGAGTCCTAAGACCATGGAATGACCACAGATGACCTTAAAAATATCTCTGGCTCTTGTGGCAACAGAGAAAAATATTAGCAGGTGACTTAAGGGTGATGCAAGGGGCCAGATGTTAAAACCTTCAAGCACATGATTTTTAATCTCATGCATTTTTGGACTTGTGACTTGTAGATATTCTGGGCTGTCAGCATTAGGCAAGTGATTGTGGCTTTCTGGGCTGTAAAGAGGCTGAACAGGAACTGGGTCCCCCACCTCTTTCACCACTGTGCCCTTTCCCTGCCCACCAGCACCCTTCCATTTCTGCAGGAGGGAAGGAAAACAAAGAGAAGGTGGCTGCCACACGAGGAGTCACCCACCGGATGCCAGGATACGCAGGGGCTTGACGGAGCCTCCCCAGGGGGCACCCAGGGAAATGAACCCCCCAATGTACTGATCTTTCCAGGCTTGTGTCTGCCGCAGCAGGAAGTAGAGGACGTGCAGGTTGCCCATGCTGTGCGCGATGAGGAACACGGGTCTCTGGTACTCCTCGTGCATCTCCTCGATCAGCGCCTTCAGGTTCTGGAAGTACTCGGGCTGCTCCTCTGTGGACAAGAGGGGAGCGTGATGGAATGAGGGTCATCCTGCTTCCCTCTGTGCGTGGGGGGCCTGGCCACAACCCCCAGACTTACGGGGTCCAACCCTCCAGTCGTAGGGGGCTGCCCGAACCGTCTGGTCCCTCACGTAGCCGTTGTTCACCAGGTTCTGCACCATGGTGTGCAGGTAGCCTGTGGGCAGAGGGAACAAGTGGGAATTAGGTCTGCGCTCTTCTCTTGTCAAGCTTTTTCCATTCTGCTCCTGGTCATGGTCAAAATGTTCCCTGGTAAGCCCTGTAGCTCAGTGCCTCCAGCCAGGAGTAGTGACTCCGTGCATCCCATTGAGTCCTGGGGTCAAGGATGGGGGGCTCCCTGCCAGCACTCAACTGGAGTGTGTCCCCCAGGCTAATGTCTCTCAGTCCCCGTGCCCTGGGCTCTCTGCAGAACCAGTCCCTGCTGCAGACACAGGGACACCTCCCCATTTGCAGGGAGCACGTGGGATCCCCAGACACCCTGGCCTCTCCTCCTCTCACCTGCCAGCTTGCTCTGATCCAGGTATTCCACAGAATAGGTCTTGCCAAAGCCAGGAACACGGATGTGCACTCCTGGGGCATTGGACATTTTCCGAGAGGTTCGGTTGTACACCACCCTGTGGGGACAGGACAGGAGGTGGCAGAAGAGCCATGTCCCCATGGAGAACACAGGGCTGGGGTGGAGATCACTGGGTAGTGGCTTGGAGCTGGCTGTTTCCAAGCTTTGTGTGGATGTGAGGTGCACTGGAGCCCAGCCAGAGTCCATTCTGCTCTCCTGGCTCCTGGGACAGGAGGCTCTGATGGAACCAGCCATCACAGCCCCCTGACCCTGCAGCCCTGGGCAGGATGGCAGCACCTCCAGTGGGTGCTCAGGGTGGTCTGGCTGGGCTTGAGCACATGGCAGGGATTTGAGAAAGGGACACACACTCAGAGAAGTAGCCAGTCATTTGTGTTCCCAAACAATCCCGTGGTCCTCCCATTTTTTTCCATGTGTGCTATATCATGGCCAGGGGGAGGAGACGGGAGGGAGATCCTTGGTAGGTCACTTCCCCAGGGAGCTCCCATGGTAGAGTTGGATGGTACCTGGTGTTATCGATCCAGCAGTCAACTCCCACTGGCAGGAAGGTGTTGAGGTTGAGCCAGATGGTGAAATAATCCTCTGTTTTGCGGTAGCACATCCAGTTCACCACATCTGGCTTGTCCAGCTTCGCTTCCAGCTGGTTCCCAAGACACCCCGGCACTGGAGGCACCACAGAGGGAGAGCAGAGCCAGTTACAAACCCCATCCCACTGACCCTGTGGGGCTGCCCAGCCTGGTGCTCACCCCACCCGCAGGCAATGCTCCCCTGGGGTTGCCTGGGGATGGCTGGGCACCTGCTGGAGCAGCATCCCTGGAGAACAACCTGCTCCGCACAGGAGAGAGGGTGCTTGGAGCTGAGATGCTGGGTGAGCATGAAAACAGCGCTGAAATGCATCCTTGGGAACCCCTAGAGTTGCATTTCCGTGGGGTGACCCCCAGAGCAGTCACTCTTGGCTCAAACATGCAAATCCCCAGCAGCACAAAGTATCCCAGATTGCTCTCCCTCCCGGGATGGGTTCCCACCTTCCTCTCCTTGCTGCAGCCTGGGGGAAGAAATTGGTGCTGCCTGGGGCTGCTCATTCCTGATGCAGTCCTGGCAACTTGTCCAGGGGTAGTGGTCAGTTCAGGGATGCAGAGCTCCCAGGGAGAGTTCCCTGAATGTTAAACTCTCCATACAGGCTGAACAAGGTGGCTCTGAAGTGGTTGAGTGCTGAGTGGAACTGAACTCTGCAGAATTCAGTGGGAGTGGTGTGCAGGAAGCACAGCACAGCTTTAAGCAAGTTCATTTTTGTGCCCTGGCCACCCTCAATGGAAGGTGACAGTCAGGAGGGTGTTTGGTCTGCCGGTGGGAGTGTCAGAGTGGTTTCCAGCAGGGATGGGACACCCGTCCTGCTGCTGCCCTGAGAGATGTGCCTGTGCTGGGATCAGACACCACGGAGAGTTTCCCAGCCAAGAGCCAGCTCCTGGTGCCAG